CAGGCCAATTGGCTGTGAGAATCAGCTGTGTCTACGGTGGGAGAACTTCTGTGCTGGAGACACCCTTATGGGGCAAGACTTGCTTCAGTGGGGCTTTGGTGCTCACTGAGTCTGCCCCCTGAGTGTGTCTCTTCTGGATCTGAGGAGTTATTATCTGGATGGTCCCACTCTGACCACTGGGTACACTGGCACTTGGATCTCTAAGGAGGTGCTAATTTAGCCTCTGCCTAAGGCTACCCAGCAGGAGCTATGGAGAGATCTGCAGATTCCTCTTTTTTGTTTGGGGTTTGGAGGTGCCCAGATGAGGCCCAGCTGTGAAGCAATGCAAGCTGCTCTGGGGCCTTGGGCCTTCTTTTGGATGGTCTGGGTCTCTGTGACCCAGCTGTAGTTTGTTAGGTAATTTTAGATTGCAAAAAGCCAGGTCATTCATGTGCAAAAGCCTCTGAGCACAGCTTGGGTGGGGCGGGGTCTCAGGGAATCAACAGGGCGGAGCAAACAGCTATGGCTGATCTTCAGCCCTGCCCTAAGAGGCCCCGGGTCTCAGTGTCCCACGGTCATCGCTGCAAGCACCTCTGAGAATAGTATGATTTTTTAAATATTTTAAATGCATCTGATAAATATTTATCAGGTGCATTTAAAATATTTTCTCTTGGATTTTCATTTATCTTTCAAGCTGCCCCTGAGTTCCACCCGATGCCAGACAGTCCAGTTTCTCCCCCTATGAGTCTGGGTCCCCAGAGACTCACCCGGAACTGGAGTTCAGGGCCGTCGGGAGCTTGTGACTCCCTCCCGATTGATAAAGACAGCCGCGTCCTCAGTTGCCAGCCCTTTTCACATGCGCCTCCGTACCTCTGCACTTTACTTCCACACCTCCTCTGGGTCTCAGTGTGCTTTTCTCTTTCCTTCTAGTTGTAGAATTTCCACTCAGCCAGCCTTCCTGTGGTTCTGGATAATGTCAGTTTTGTCTTTTATTTGTATTTTTAAAGTGGTGGTGCGAGTCAGCAATTTCAGGTGTTTACCTATGCTACCATCTTGGTTTCTCCTTAATTTAAATTATTTATTGTTTAAAGTATTACATGAGTCTCCTTTTTCCCCCATTGACCTCTCCCTGGCTGCTCCCACCCCCTAGCACATATCCTTATCCCCCTTCTGTCTGT